CTTGTCCCAAATGGTAGAGTTAGAAACATACCAGGGGATTCCAACTCAATCCCATCAAGGTGGCATGTACCAATGCCATCTCACTATTCCAAGTGATCAATTTCAGTTCACAATTGATCATAATGAAAGGACTAAGAGTCAAAGGGAGCACATAAACAAGTCTAGTACCTGCTAACACTAACCGATAGAATAAATAAAGGGGAGAGTGATCCAACATGGGAAGTGAGATACTCAGCAGACTCATAGAATGGCAGATGTCCTAAATAGCACTCTGGCCTCAGAATCAGCCCTAAAGGCATTCGGATCTGGCTGAAAAGCCCATGAGAGTATTTCAGGCATAGAAAGCCAAGACACTCTGGCAATAGATCTCTGTGAGTGAGATCCCAGTGGAAAGAACAGGTCTTCAAAGAAGGAGGTACCTTTCTCTGAAGGGAGGAGAGAACCTCCACTTTGACTATGACCTTGTCTAAACAAGATAAGAATCGGAGAACTCAGAGGGCTTCCATAGCCTTGGAAACTCATGACTGGAGCATAGGGAGATTACTGATGCCATAGACAGGAGTGTCAATTGGTAAAGTCAACAACAGGAGTCACTGTGCACTTACTCCTCATGTAGGATCTCTGTCCTTAATGTGCTGTGCATTGAGATTTAATGCTATAACGAGTACTCAAACAATATATTTCACTTTGTGTTTCTATGGGGGTGCAAACTGTTGAAATCTTTACTTAATGTATACTAAACTGATCCTCTGTAAAAAAAAAAAAAAAAAAAAAAAAAAAAAAGAAATTATCAACTCCCAACTTGACTCTCACTGGGATTAAACATGACAATAGGTCTAATCTGATTTCATCATCATTTAAAAAAAATCATCTATTATTTTTCACTTTATGTTTCTGTGTGGGAGCAAACTGTTGAAATCCTTACTTAATGTATACTAAGCTGATCTTCTGTATATTAAGATAATCGAAAATGAATCTTGATGTGAATGGAAGGGGAGAGGGAGTGGGAAAGGGGAGGGTTGTGGGTGGGAGGGACGGTATGTGGGGGAAGCCATGTAATCCATAAATCGTACTTTGGAAATTTATATTCATTAAATAAAAGTTAAAAAAAAAATAGCTTTTTTTTTTTTTTTTTTTTTTTAATTTGAGAAACACCTAGAGACAGAGAGAGCTCCTATACACTAGTTCACTTCCTGAATGCCGACAAGGGTCAGGCTGGGCCAAGTCCTGATTCAGAAGCGGGAATGCTAATTCAGGTCTCCTTTGTGGGTGGCAGGAACCCAACTACTTGAATCATAACCCGCTGCCTCTGAGAGTTTGTGCTGGCAGGAGGCAGACCTGGGCATTGAACCCAAGCACTCTGATGTGGCTTGTGGGCTTCTTAATCCTAACACCTTAATTGCTGGGCCAAAAGTTCTCAACTGCACTTTTATTAACTGAAAACTTGATCATTTTGTATTTGTCCACTGATGTTAATTTGCTCAAACCAGAAACTATATTTCAAATATTAATTTTGACTGTAAAATTAACAACTTCCTTCCAACAAGAATACAGTGGTATCGGCAATTATTTAGATCAATAACACCTGTGCAATATAGAATAAAAAATATTTCAATTTATATCCATGAGATACAAAGCTTCAATATTTATTAAGTTTGAAGATATGCAATTATTGTGCCAAACTGCTGGGATAATTTCTAAATGTTTACACTAAACTGCTATGCCATCTCTTTAGAAAGCACTGGCTTAAACGATGGTTGTTCCAAACAAGTAGAAGTTCATGTGCTTCAGTGAAGAAAACACAGGAAGTCAAAGAGAGCTAGAGTGGCTCATGAATCACATATCATATTCACACAGCCATGATACCCTAATTAAGTAATGGTAATGGTAATGACAGACAATGATGGTAAAAGCATTTCCAAATATATAATGAATGTTTGTTTGTTTCTTTTTTTTTTTTTTTTTTGACAGAGTTAGACAGTAAGAGAGAGAGACAGAGAGAAAGGTCTTCCTTCTGTTGGTTCACCCCCAAATGGCCACCATGGCCAGCACACTGTGTCTATCCAAAGCCGGGAGCTAGGCGCTTCCTCCTGGTCTCCCATGCAGGTGCAGGGCCCAAGCACCTGGGCCATCCTCCACTGCCTTCCCGGGCCACAGCAGAGAGCTGGCCTGGAAGAGGAGCAACTGGGACAGAATCTGGTGCCCTGACCAGGACTAGAACCTGGTGTGATGGTGCCGCAGGTGGAGGATTAGCCTAGTGAGCCATGGCGCTGGCCATGAATGTTTACTCTATACTGAACACTATGCTTTTTTGTATGTCATGACTTAATTCTCACTTGCATCTTATATAGTAGGCATCTTTATTTTAAATTTCCATTGCACAAATAAAAAAACAAAGGCTCAAAGTGGTTAGAAAGGCTTGTTTCCTGTCAAAGCCTGTGTGTCTATCTGCTATTTTATATTTTTTTTACCTCAGAGTTTGTAAAAGTCATCAATAAGAAATGTACAGATGGGATAACAGCCTAGATAGCACACAGGGCTATAAGAAAATTCAAGCACACAAACTTGCAAGCACCCCACAAATAGAAATAAAACCCAATTAAAACATGAAATGGGACATGTGAAATCCTTGCACTATAAAGTGTAATAAAGTTCAAGTTGAAACAATGAGTAACTTCTTCTTCAAAGTTTAAAAAAATATATATATATTTTAATAATGCTGATGAGAAAAATATGGGATGGACCAGCATTGCAGTGCAGTGGTTAAGCTGCCACCAGCATTGACGTGATCCCATACATGTGCCAGTTCCAGTCTGGGCTGCTATTTCCAATCCAGCTCCCTACATGCACCAGGGAAAGCAGCAGGGGATGGCCTAAGTCCTTGGGCCCCTGCCACCCACATGGTAGACCCATATGGAATTTCTGGCTCCTGCCTTTGACCTAGACCAGCTCTGGCATTATGTCCATTTGTGAACCAGTGATAGGAGATTCTCCACCCACTCCCCCATAACTCTGATTTCCAAATACATCAATCTAAAAAAAGAGGGGGGTACATATACTGTAGCTATGGTTACTGTAAACCCTAGTATTGACTGAACAAATTAAGAGTGAGTATGTGATGGGTCATGGACCGTTACTGGGAAGGAACTGGTCAAGATGTCAAAGAAACTATGAATAAGTACTAGAAAACTGAGAGACTAATGTCTGAAAGGAGACTAGAACATGCTGGTTAGGCATTCCTATCTCCAAGCCCACATCATAGCACTGCAGTATAAAAAGAGGCAAAGTATTGGAAAGCATTTCAAAGAGATGAAAATACGTTCTGTATCAATTTTCCTCAATATTTAAGATCAATCTCTAGACTTTAGCAAACAATTTTTGAAAGTTTAAATAAATTTTTGTATTCGAATATATCAATTCTCAAAGTGCACAGTGTAGAGGAAGATAGAATTTAATTCCTAACCTTGTCACTAGCCATTTTAAAATAAATTTTTATGTGTATAAGCACAAACACACTAGTTACAGTTGTAGGTGTAAATAGCAATTCATTAATAACCTACAGAGAGCTACCCAATACCTATGTATTTTTCATTTCCAGTGGGAATGATGCAACCATTTTCAATGCTAAGGTCAAGCTTAAGTCACAGAAATGAAAACAACCGTCATTAAAAAAGGAAATCAGACTTCCTTAACCATAGTTCAGGGCTTCCAGAGAAGAAAAATAATGGAGATTATTACTAACAAAAGACTGTGTATAATAAGAGAACATAAATAAAACACTCATTGATTCTCTTCTCTGGGTTAATAAATAGCCCCACCATGGTCTTAAAGTTTTGACTTCTTTGAGATTCTCTGTAATTCAAACAATGAATTCATATTTAGTGAGCACCTACTATATATAACTTAACAGTATCTTATTAACTTTACATTTTACCTAATGGAGAGGCAGGGTGTTGCTGAAAACATCTACCAAGAAACTGCTCTTCACTGGATATGAATGTTTTATAATTTCAACATAAAGGACTCTGTTGTCTGCAGCATTACACAGCTAATAAATATTAATTAAAACCATTATTTGTCTAATTTGCCACTGAAAATGTATCCCTCCCCATTTCTACAGAGTGACTAAGTCTCTATTCTGCTACAGCCTGTTATACAAGGAAAGGATAATGACTCTGACTTGACCAGTACATATTGTATGCATTTGTTGAAATGTCACACTATACCCTGTAAGTATGTACAATTATTAAATTAATGAAAAAAATTTTTAATTGTTTAAGGAGATACAAAGGCTAAGTAAACTGATTTGATCTTGACACACTGAATACATGTACTGAATTACCAGACTGTTCCCCATAAATAAGTACAATTAAATGTTTAAAATAATAAAAGAAGTTATGTAGCCATAGAAAACAAACGTACTGATCACTGAGAGGGACGTCTGTCTTACTGAGAGAAATCTACCTCTGATGGTAGAGCAAAAGATAACCACATGATAAAATGGAAATAACACGAGTATCATTTAAGATTGTTTGGGTTTGAGGCTGACTTCATGTATACACTGTCTGTGCAAGGCTGCACTTCTCGGAATGCTTGGTTTAATGATCTGCTGTTATCATCTTGAGGTTCTTAACTGACTTTTTTTTTTCAAAAGAGGCTTGTATTTTTCTTTTATAGTGGACTCTGTAAATTATGTGGGCAATTCTGTCTGGGTTTGAATTATGACGTCATTGTTTAATATGTTTGAAGTTAGTGTAAACCCTAGTTTCTTCATCTGTAACAAAGGTATAATACCCACCTAATAGGATTAGTGGGAATATAAGATGAGATATTGAATGTGAATATAATGGGCTTAGAACGTGGTACACAGGACCAGAAAAGAGATGTGAAATAAAATGAAGCTGGAACAACTCTTGTTCCTATTTCTAGGAATCTCAGACATTTAAAAACTTCTGTATATCATAATTATGTATAGTTAAAATTTAGACTTTAATACTTACAAGCCGTATATCTGTGGTGCGATTTCTAGTCTGTTCAAGTGCATGTAAAGCTCAATATCATGCTTCTTCAGGAGATGATCCTGGATCTGGTTGACTTTTGTAACAATAGCAATTGTTGGCCCTAAGTCCTGTGGTCTAGCAAAGGGTATAGGGGTCATCAGCGTTTCTTTTCCCTAAAACCAGGAAAAATAAAATATGTGTTATTTCTTATGAGACTAACAAATATATGGACATAATTCTTTAATGAAAGTTTAAACAAGAACAAAAAGTACTTTAATTATCTCACGACAAATACTTAAAAGGTAGAATCATATGCTAATAGATAATTAATTGTACTCCTAAGGAAAAGTCCAGGAATTGCCTTCCACAGTATCTTCCACCTGCGTTCTCTGACCAGTTTTCTCTTGTGACAATAAGTTCTGTAAGGTAGTTTTGGCTAGAGGTAGTGGTGGCCATTACAGTCTCTTTGCCCACGGTCAGTTTATCTGATCAGCCATTGCATATAAATGGATTCTTGTGGCATAAAATTCAAACATGAAAAACAGTAAATGACAACTTTTCTACTTTGAGCTAACAAAACTATAAAAAAGGAACTCAGAATTAGAAAGGAAGAAGCTTTTGTCAATTTACATAGCCAAGTAAAATGATTTTAAAACTGTCCAGATCAAAAGTATACCTCACTTAAAAAATAAGACCTATGTTTGGACACCTATTCTTCCTATCCTTCCTTACCAAATGGAAGGGAGATTTATCACCAATTCCTAATGCTTTCATGTAAACTTCAGCTTTTCACGTAATGCCTTTCACGTAATGTCCGGTGATTTCTCCTAACAGATGGTGTCTGACCTTTCTCCTGACACTCAGTCCTCGGTTTCCACCTCTCCAACACTGACACTCACAGCACCTGTTGTGATTTTTGGTCTGCCATTCATTCTCAGTCAGCTTCTCTTCCGCTTTCCAACTGCTGTTTTTTTATATAGTTCCGGTGCTAGGTGCATTCTCTACGCATACTCACATGCTATCCCCAAGTGATCTCAATCACGCACTGCTTCTACCGATGCGTGTGTTCCCAATCTGTATTCTTAGCCTAGAACTCTTGAGTGCCTCCCATAAATTCAAATGTTGGCAAGAAGTCCTGGATTGCTATAAGGTTTCTAATTTTGTAGGCCTACAACTGAACTTAACATCTTCTGCTCAAAAACATGTTCTTCCTTTCACTTATGCCCACCTCAAGCTTCCTTTAAATTTTGCCAATTTTAGCTCCTCAGTACCACTTTTACCTGTCCCCTCTTCTACTGCCCAACTGTCACAATGTGATAATGTGATTTAGGGCCCTAATTATTTCTTTCCTCCTTACTGCTCTACCTGCCTCTAAATTTATTGTTTATTTAATCTTGCAAAGTATGCAAGGTGATCTATTTAAAGTAGAAAATAGAGCTGGCACTGTGGCATAATGGGTTGAACCGCTGTCTGCAATACCAGTATCCCATATGGGTGCCGGTTCCAGTCCCAACTGCTCTAATTCTCATCCAGCTCCCTACTAACGTAGCTGGGAAAGCAGTGCAAGACAGTCCAAGTTCATGGGCCCCTGTACTCATGTGGGAAATCAGGATAAAGCTCCTGGCTCCTGGATTCCATCTGGCCCAGCCCTGGCTGTTGTGGCCATTTGGGAAGTGAATCAGCAGATGGAAATCTGTAGGAAATACTACACAGAAAATCCCAGAATCCCACATCATACCACTTACTAATCAGCAAGTAGAATAATCAGAGGAGAAAGAAAGTGTAGGTTTAAGGGAAGACTTAGTGAAAGACATGCATTTCCAGAATCATCTCAAAGTCTTAGAAAAAGATGTGCTCCTTCGTACTCCCTACAGTACAATCCCCTGTGTCTTTATCTAAGACCATGTTAATTTTTATAGCTCAATTCGCTTGTGTTAATTTGGAAAGACAAGAGAAAAGGAAACCTCTACATAGGTTGAACATCCCTAATTTGAGAATCTGAAATCTGAAATGCTCTGAAATCTCCCATTTTTTGAGCACTGACATTATGTCACAGTGGAAATTTCCATACCTGAGACTGTGACTCGTTATGACCCAAATGCAGGCACACTAAAATAATTGTATACAATTAACTTTAGGCTATGGTTATAAGGTATATCGGAAAGAAAAGTGAATTTTGTGTTTATACTTGGGTCCTATCCCAAATATATCTCATTATGTATATGCAAATACTTTTAAATCCAAAACACCCCAAATCCAAATACTTCTGGTCCCGGGCATTTTGGATAAGGGATACTCTGCCTGTACTGCAGGCCCTTGTTATAAAAATGAAATGCACAGGCACTTGTTTTCTGATTAACTCCCTGCTAATGCGCCTGTGAAACCAGCAGAGGACAGTCCAGGAGCTTGGGCCCCTGATACTCAAGCGAGAGATCCGGATGGAGTTCCAGGCTCCTGGTTTCAGCTGCTAGGCCCCTGAGGCCATTTGCTGAGTGAATCAGCTGACAGAAGATCTTTCTATAACTCAGTACAGATAAATAGATAAATTTAAAAAAATATACATTTTGGTCATGAAGTTTACTTCAGGGGTGGATCCTGTGTGGCTGGATTCTTGTCAGTGTCGGGTAGAGACACTGGGCTAAGGTGATGTTTCTAAAATCACACACAACACAGATCACTGTATCTATTCATCTTTTAAGCATCTTGAGTAAACAGACTTATACAGAATACAATCAATAGCTTCGAGAGAACTGATCCTAAATTTAGTCGAATCATGTTTAACTTAATCAAATCATATGATCAATTTCTATTTTGAATAGAATGAATTGTTGGGCCAGCACTGTGGTGTAGCGGGTAAACCAGCATCCCATATGGGCATCGGTTTGAGACCTGGCTGCTCCACTTCCCATATAGCTCTCTGCTATGGCCTGGGAAAGTATAGGAGATGACCCAAGTCCTTGAGCCTCTGCACTCATGTGGGAGACCTGGAAGACTTCTCTCTCTCTGCTTCTGCCTCTCTGTAACTCTGCCTTTCACATAAATCAATCAATCAATCTTCAAAAATCAGTAGCATATGTAATTTTTTTTCAAATTCTGTACTTGATAGGGACTCACATGTAGGCTAAGAACTATGCCTATACAAACTGTACTTTGAAAAGATTTCCCCTGTGCATAGAATACTTAAAATCTCGTAATTTAAAGAAACTAAAAAATGGGGCCAGCACTGTGGCACAATAGGTAAAGCTGCTGTGTGTGGAACCCGCATCTCATATGGGCGTTGGTTCCAGTTTGGGCTGCTCCACTTCTGATCCAGCACCTCAGAAAGCAGTTGAAAATAACCCAAGTGCTTGGGGCCCTGCACCCAAGTGGGAGACCCAGAAGAAGCTCTTGGTTCCTGGGTTCAGATCAGCCCAGCTCCAGGCACTGTAGCCATTTAGGGAGTAAACCAGCTGATGAAAGACGTCTCTCTTTCTTTCTCTGTAACTCTGCCTTTCAAATAAATAAATATTTTTAAAAAAACTCAAAAGTAATGTTCATAATCACTTAAATGCTAAATAACTTATCATACAGTAAAATCAAAAGAGAAAATAAATAAAATATAAATATGAACTTGAAGCAGGAGTATCAACATTAAATACAAGGTAGAACTGAGAAAATGTAACCTTCATGCTTCAAATACTCAGTTTCTGAGATACTGTGAATCAATTACAAAATACAAAATGTCCCCTGCATGAAATTCTGACCATTGTTCAAACTTTTAATGCTCATATAAGTCTGTAACTTTATCACGTCACTAACCTAAGAACACAGATTCCATTCAAAAAATATTTTGCTAAATATGTTTGCAGGTTTCATCTTCAGCAGCCTTTACAGAATGGAACATGCTGATGTAAGAAGAGATACTTTAACACCCAGGGCAGGAGTCAGAGGAAGTAGTTCAGGCTTTGCAGGTCATATAGTCTGTGTTTTAACTACTCAAGTAGCAGTTACTACCATTACTACCAAAGTAATGACCGAGCAGCCACAGATGACAAGTAAATAAATAGGAATGGCTGTGTTCCAATAAAACTTGGTATTTATGAATTTGAACTCCATGTAATTTTCATGTGTCACAAAATATTAATTTTTCCTCTAATTTTCTAACCGTTAAAAAAAGTGAAAACTTTCTCAACTTGAAAGATGTACAGAAACAGATGCTACACTAGAGGCATAATGATCTAAGACCCCTAACCTAGGCCAAAGGCATGATAAGCATTAGTTACTCATTTCATTTTTATGAAACAGAATAAAGTGACTGAGCAATATACAATTTCTAAGCAGAATGTAATCAATTAAACCAACACAAAGGAATTTAACCATGGCAGAAAATTTTTCCATTTAATATTTTTTTGTAAGATTTATTTATCTGTCTGAAAGTCAGAGTTACAGAGGGAGAGACAGAAAGAAAGAGGTCTTGGAACTGCTGGATCACTCCCTAGATGGCTGCAACGGCCAGGGCTGAGCCAGGCCTAAGCTAGGGGCCTGGAGCTTCTTCCAGGTCCTCCACAAGCGTGGCAGGGGTCCATGTACTTGGGTCATCTTCACTGCTTCTCCCAGGCCATTAGCAGAGAGCTGGATCAGAAGCAGAGCAGCAGGGACAAGAACTGGCGCCCATATGGGATGCTGGTGTGGCAAGCAGCAGCTACACCTGCTAGGCCACAACATTGGCCCCTCCAGATATTCTTACCATTATCCATTGCCAACAGAATCAAAAATTTTTCTAATATCATGGGATAATAAAAACACCATGATGATCTCTAAGATAGCATTTATGTTAGGTTAACATGATACTTAATTCAGTAATTCCATTCCTAGATATATACCAGGAGAACAGAAAACATGTTCATATAAAAGTATGTACATGAATTTTATAACATTATACACAATAGATAAAAGTGAAGAACATTCAATGCTTATAAATTTATGTATACATAAACAAGATGCTGTATATCTATATAATCTATATCTATATAAACGTTGTATATCTATATATTATTCAGCTCTAAAAAGGAATGAAGTATTTATATGTGATACAGCATGGATGAAGAATGAGAACATTATGCTAAGGCAAAGGAGTTGATCATAACAAGTCATATATTTTATGATTCCATTTACATGAAATGCTTACAATCATTAAGTTCATTGAGAAAGAAGGGAGATTAGTGATGCCAAGGGCTATGGGCAGGGAAGAATGAGGAGCAACTGGTAATGGGGATGGGAATTCCTTCTGGGGTGATAAAAATATTTTGGAATTAGATAGTGGGGATGTTTGCACAACTCTATGAACTTAACAAAAAGAACTGAAATGTATTAAAATGTGCTTGTGAATTTTATCACAATTAAAAATATACTTAAAATATGAATAAGACAAAGTAAGGGTAAGAGGCATTCATGCTTAATATGTGGATTAAACAGTATTACATTAGTAAAGGCTTATCAACCCATTTGATACAGATTTTATCTATGCATGTTAGTAACAACGCATATGTAAGCTCATAGGATAGCCATAAAACATTTATAACAATTTTATAATTAAGCAATTAACATTTCTACTTGTTTATATGAAATCTTTATATTGCTGCTTTATGTCTGCCAATATTATTAGAGATATGTTAGAAGAGGGATTTTCAAAATGTTCATGGAAAATAGAATTAAAAGATAAATTTATTTTAGTGCAAAAAACCCTGAAACATAAGCATACAAAAAGTCTTCAAAAAATTCATGAAAAAATGCATATTATGAAAAAACCATTAGGGGATTTCAAAATTATCTTGCATCAAAATAAACTTATCTTTTTAAAAAAGCATTTATTTGAAAGGCAGAGAAATAAACAAGCAGACAGAGATAGACAAACAGATCTTCCACCTACTTGTTTACTCCATAACTGCCCACAACACTCAGAGCTGGGCTGGGCCGGACCGAAGCTAGGAGACTTGGGTTTCCCAAGTGGCTGGCGGGATCCATCACCTATTGCCATCACCTATTGCCTCCCAGGGTGCACATCAGCAAGAAGCTGGAATTGGAATTGGAGCTGCGACTCAAACCCAGCACTCTAACATGGATTTGGGAAGCACAAGTGGCACCAAATGCCTGCTCCTAAACTTGCCTTTTTTATTTATTTTAAATTTATTTGAAAAGCAGAGTTACAGAGAGAGGAGGAGAGACAGAGAGAGAGAGAGAGAGGAGAAACAGAGAGAGACACTGATCCTCTATTGCTGGTTCACTCCCCAGATGGCTGCACAGCCAGGGCTGGGCCAGGCTGAAGCCAGGAGCCAGGAGTTTCATCTGGGTCTCCCAAGTGGGTGCATGGGTCCAAGGACTTGGGCCATCTTCTGCTGCTTTCCTAGGCTCATTAGCAGGGAACTGGATTAGAAGTGGAACAGCCAAGTCTAGAACCAGCACCCATATGGGAGGCCTGCGTCACAGGTGTAGGCTTAACCTGCTGTGCCACAATGTTGGCTCCTGAATTTGTCTTTTAAAATCCATTTCCCCACAAACTACTGCAGTACCCATGTAGATACGTAGGTTAAATTTTATTACATATGTACTTCTATATTTTCATTTTCTATTATATCAACAATAACGGCTATATATTCTATATTATTCTCTGATTATACTAGGGCACTCCCAAAAGTTCACAGAAAATGGCATGAAAAGAAAGTTATTTTGGTTCAGAATATTTTCAGGTACATGCATAGCTTTTCCATAACACATATTGTTTCATGAAAGTTTTTAAGGAATTTATTAACACATTAGATTCTCAAGGTCACAGTAAATGTATGATAATCAGTACAACCCAATTCTCATGTTAATGTGATATTAATACAAAGAGAATGGATTCCACATAGTTCATGGCTATAATTCTAAGAATATAATTTATTTCCCTCCTTCCATCTCTCCCTTCTTCCTTAATTTTTTTCATGAAATTTTTAGATCATTTGTATGCATGAACTTAAAATTTTTTTGTACAAAATCAGTTTATACTTTAATTCCATTTCGTACAAACTTTTGGAAGCACCTTTGTACCTTGCTTACTAAAATCATTCGTGTCCTGAAACACACAAAAAAGATCTGTACTCTAAGACGTACCTTTTGGGACCAGCGTTCTGGCACAGTGCGTTTAACTGCTGCTGTGACACCAGCATCACATACGGAGTGCTGGTTCAAGTCCTGGCTGCTCTGCTTTGGATTCATCTCTCTACTAAGTGCCTGGGAAGCCAAGTGCTTGGTCCCCTACCACCCATGATGGAGAACAGGATGGAGTTACTGGATCCTGGCTTTGGATGGCTTAGCCCTGATTGCTGTCACCATTTGGGGAATAAAGTAGCAGGTGGGAGATTCTCTCTCTCTCAATGTCTGCCTTTCAAATAAATAAATAAATCTTAAAAAGAAAAAAGGATTTTTACCTTTTGACCATCATGCTCAAAAGTAGAAAACCAAGGTTCAGCAGTTTCCATGAGTTGTGAGAACATTGCACTAAAAATTAGAAAAATAATTAACAACTATGTTTAAGCTTCATTAAAGTAATGATGGTATTAAAAACAAAACAAAACTAATAGAATTTTTGTACTTACTAGGCATCATGTTCCAGATACTCAGGGTTCAAGAGAGTTTTCATTTCCTCACTTTAAAAAACAAAATGAGCAATCAAAATGTGTATTTTTTTAAAATGACCGCCCAGGATGTAGACTTTGCCTTATTTTACATTTATAAGCCAACTTTCAAATAATACACTTAAGAGTACTTTATTAACAAGCAAAATTCTTTCTTTTTTTTTTTTTTTTTTTGACAGGCAGAGTGGATAGTGAGAGAGAGAGACGCAGAGAGAAAGGTCTTCCTTTGCCGTTGGTTCACCCTCCAATGGCCGCCGCTGCAGCCAGCGCACCGCGCTGATCCTGGCAGGAGCCAGGAGCCAGGTGCTTTTCCTGGTCTCCCATGGGGTGCAGGGCCCAAGCACCTGGGCCATCCTCCACTGCACTCCCTGGCCATAGCAGAGAGCTGGCCTGGAAGAGGGGCAACCGGGACAGAATCCGGCGCCCCAACCGGGACTAGAACCCGGTGTGCCGGCGCCGCAAGGTGGAGGATTAGCCTATTGAGCCACGGCGCCGGCTTAATTCTTTCTATAAAGATAAAAATCAAACAAGTTGCCTTGCCTATGCTACAATGAAGTTAACTATCTGTTCCAAAAAAAAAAAAAAGATACAGACAGCAACAATATATTCTTTACTACACTTGACAACTGATTACTTCAAAATCTATCACTTGTTCAAAACAAAACAAAACAAAAAAGTCACCGAATCTGCAATATCAAAAACACTATTTTCTATATTAATTTTAACAAAAAATCAGTGACAATACTTCTTAAAAATCTTTTAATTTTTTTAAATAAATTTTTTAAAAAATATGTATTTATTTATTTACAAGTCAGAGGTAGGGAGAGACAGAAAGAAAGCTCTCCTATCCATTGGTTCACTCCCCAAAAGGCTGCAATGGCCAGGCTGCCAGGATGAAGCCAGACGCTGAAGCTCCATCAGGGTCTCCCATGTGGGTGACAGGGGCCCAAGCACGTGGGCCATCCTCTGCTGCTCTCCCAGGTAAATCAGCAAGGAGCTGGGTCAGAAGTGGAGCAGCTGGGTCTCAAACCAGCACCCATATGAGATGCTGGCATCGCAGGTGGTAGCTGAAACTGCCATGCCCCAATGGCGGCTCCTCCTTTAGTGTTACTTTTACTTTTTAATGGACTAAAACAGCTGAAAAAGCATGTCATTATCACCTAAAAGCTACTTTCAAGCATCTATTCTTTCCTAAAAAATCAAATAAAAACTGGAAGGAAACAAGATCCCAATGTTAACTTTATCAATATAGTTTAGAATAACTGAAGTAAAGGCAATTAAGGTACAGTTACTCTTGTCAAGACACAATAAACTAGGAGCACAGGTTTAATGCAATGAGGAAGTGCCTGCAGTCCACATTGAGTACTTGAATTCAATTTCTGGCTTGTTTCTCACTCCAGCTTCCTGCCAAGGCAGACCCAGGGAGCAGCTGACACAGCTCAAGTAATTGGGTTCCGGCCATTCTCATAGTAGACCTGGGCGTGTTGTAGCTCACTGCTTCCGTCCCAGCCTGGCTTACGCTAAGCATGTGGACATCTGGGGAGTGAACCAGTAGATAGGAATTCTGTCTCTCTACCTTTCTAGTAGTTAAATTTCAAAAAATAAATACAGTAAAGTTATGACATTTAAAGGAAACTTGAAACAGTAATCTATAATCTGGTAGAAAAAAGTTAATTTATAAAAGGCCTGAATATATATACTCTCTAGATATCCTATAATTAGAAGTATAAAATATCTGCCAGTTCTTCCTTTCTGTACACATGCAGACCTGGCTGTGGAATACTCCTAACAAAGACTGATAATCCAGAGTGTTCTATTCCCAAAAGGCTTCTTGGTGCCTCTCTGACAGTTGGGGTATTTTAAGTTAGAAAAATGAATTCTGATAAATAGCCTAAGTCAAATCTAACCACAACAGTCATTTACAGGAAAGGATAAACAAATATATCTCAACAGCAATGAGAAGTCATTTCATTTGTTTACAGATTGAAGTTCTACGTGGCACTGCTCCTTTATTCATGAAATAAGTCGGTCAGACCTGCTGATACTTTATCCAGGATAAAGTATCTCACGGATAAAGTTGTTCTGCTGGCTGTGAAAAATGAATCATTAGAGGATAGTATATGTTGAGTATCTTTAAGTGGTAGTATTTTTGTCATTACGGCAAAAATTTCTTTTTCTTGATACAGACCAAAGATTTTTAAAAGACATTCCTCATTCCCAATTTGCCCCATAGCTAAACTGGCATTGGAATTATTTGGTGGGATTAACAAGTAAGTCACATGAAATATAATCAAATGTGTATAACTTACAAAACTTAGAAGTACCTTCAATTTAAAAGATTTTGAGGTAAGAACTAAACTGCAGTAGGGGCTGAAAACCCAGATACAACGCGAAAACTTGCCTGGGCTGTGCTGACTCACTGGCATGTAGAAAAGCTTGGTGGTCACAGTGAAGGATGAAAACTATAGGCGCTAACAGCTCATGCATGCCCTGAAACACAAAAGCAAAAAAACCCAGCGGAATGGGTATCAGAGTTCATTAGAGGACAATGTCAACTCTGTTAAACCCTTCTTCAACTGATTCCTGTCACTGATATTTTCAAATTATATTGAAAATCATGAAAAAGGAAAGCTACAGAATGAGATTTTATCTACTCTTAGAATCTGATTCCAATTCAACCACAGTACATATTCTTCTTTAAAACATAGAAAATAGTTCTGTTTTAAATGACTCAACAAACAATAAATTGGCATGGTAGACAACCTTGCACCTGTCAGTTGCTTCAAGATCTGTACTCATAAATATGAATTTCACTTATGCAAATTATAATCATGAGCTACAGTGTAAAGATCTGCAGTAAGAAGGGTAACTAAGAACTGTAGACCTAAGGAAATTATATCCAATGTTTTCATTATATAATGGCTCAAAATTAGGATGTCTATAGATTTAGGAAGAGCTGAAGTCAGCTAGCTAGAAGCATTGAATAATAAAAGAAACAACCTTTAGCAGGTATAACAGAAAATAAAGTTTTAAAGGTGATTTTTTAACCTGTTTAATGAGGAAAATATCATTTTTTCCTATTTTATTTCAACAATAAGACTAATTTTCACTGTATTTAAAAGTTTAACCAATATGACTTGTTTCCTTTATATTGAGGTTTACCTATGGATTATATGGATAACCACAGAAATCAAAAGGTATAATGTTAATTACTGAGCTGTCTTTAAAAGAGAATTATAACAATCCATAATTTATCCATTATTGTAGAGATATAAAGTATTCCATAATAGAGACTATTAATACATATAGGGACTATTAGCCTTATTAATTGAACCCCTAGTCAAACTATATTTTGGCAAGTTAAAGTAGGTTATATTCTATCTTGCCTCTTAAAGAAAGCAAATTACCAACTTCCTTCTGCTTGGCAACAAAACATGCTCTTTTATATAAAGGCAAGAGTTATTACCACCTTTGGAGGAAACAAGGTAGGGAGTGGAGAGAAGTTTTTTGCTGTGGAATTAGGGGATGCTTCTGGCCTGGAAGGACACACTCACACAATCTTCTGGCCCAGCCCAGCACTACTATGTTAGACTTTAGGAGCCAGGTGATCTCAAAGGTAAAATGGGGACAAACTACAAGACTTCAGTTTTAAGTCACCAATAACCTTAAGTGAAAAGGATTTAGTGACATTTTTACAAAAAATTTATGACCCACTGACAATTTACTTGATTTAGGATATACTACTAAATATAATTTCAATCTTTCTAGGTAACCATCTCTTAATTAAGTAAACATTGAAATTTAACAATATGTCTTAGAAGAACATAATAGAAACTCAGACAAAATGAAATTAATTTTAAAAATCAGTATGAGGGGTTTATTCTCTTGGTATAGTCATGTTATTTCAAAGGAAAATGCCATAATTTTAATCAATAAGGCAGTAATTAGTTAATGTAGAAAACTATGAGAAAGCAAAACAGGAAAGGGAAGGAGGGAGGAAGATCAGTCAACCACAAAAGAAAAAAAGAGGTAGAAATTTAAAACTGTAACAAATACCATGTGATAATCTTTTTGCCTATTTCTGATGGCTTACTTAGGATAAAGTCATTGAGAAACAGAATTTCTGGGTGGTGATGGAGGAAGGGAGGTAGAAATTAAAAACTATAGTAAATACCATTGTGGTAATCTTTTTGCCTATTTCTGATGCCTTCAGCAGGACAGCCTGAAGAAGCAGAATTTCTGGGTGATGGGGTAGAAACATTTGTCTAAGTTTCTTATGCCTTCCAGAAAGAATCCCTCACTGCAGTATAGAAAAATCATTACCTCACATATCCTAATCTATGTTTGATTAAAAAAAATCTTGTCAAATCCCAGAAATTGTTATAATTTATTTAAATGCTATGAGATTGAATTAAAAAATTTGATTGGCCATTTGTATTTAATGAGTTGCTTATTTTTTTGTATTTAAGTATTTACTTTTCCCCAATTTCCAACAGTTCTCTACCAACTACCATTATTTTGATATAAACAATTCCTATGTTTACTATTTGTATTTTAATTTTGATTATGATGCCCTATGTCATGGCGAATTTATAAACTTTAAAAGAGTCAATACCATAAGTCATTCTTCATGATTTCTTTTACTGATTTCATGCCTGGAAAGATTTCCCTCACACTGACATTAGGTAAGAAGGTAGCTTCCTTTGTTTTCCATTAATTTTCACCTACCTGATTTTAGTTTAATTTTGCCATGAAGAATAAACATCTATTTTTCTCCAAAAGAATCGAACTTGTATTGAATTATCATCCCTTCTTCAAGAAATTCAATGTTTTCAGTAAGTTAAAAAATCCATCTCCTCCCAAGAGTTTTGAAAAGCCATCTTTATTATAAACTAGATATTTAGCTCACATTTTTTCCTAGGCTTTTACTGGTATCCCATTGGTTTGAATATTCTTTTCAAGATTTATTTATTTGAAAGGCAGAGCTTCAGAGAAGGAGGGAGGAAGGAGGGGAGGGAGAGAAGGATCGAGATGGAAACAGGAAGGAATGGAGGGAAGGAAGGGAGGTGTGAGAAGGACAGAACTGGGGAGAGATCTCCCATGGTTCACTCCCCAAATGGCCCCAAGAGGCAGGGCTGGGCCAGACTGAAGCCAGGAGCTAGGAACTCCATCCAAGTCTCCCATGTGGGTGGCAGAGCAAAAGCACTTGGGCATCTTTCACCATTTTCTCAGGTGTAGTAGCAGGGAGTTGGATTGGAAGCAGAGCAGCTAGGACTCAAGCTGGCCCTACCAAACTGGATGCTGGAGTTGCATGCGGTCACTTAGCCTGCTGTATCAAAACGGCAGCCCCGGTTTGTATGTTCTTTATGAGTCCTGCCTCATTATAAATACTGAATTTACAAGATTCTAGTCCTCCATATTTTCTACACTATTTTTCAAAATTATCTGGCTTATTATACAATTTTCCTTTAAAAATTATTTATGATGTACTAGAAAGGCAAAGAGACAGATGGAGAGGGAGTGACAGAGAGAGAGAGAGAGAGAGAGATAAAGATCTTCAATCTGCTGGCTGATTTCTCAAATGCCTGCAGAAGTCAGGTTGGCCAGGCCAAAGCCAGGAGCTGTGTGCTCAACCCAGGACTCCCATGTGGGTAGCAAGCGGGACGTAAGTACTTCAGTCAGCACTGCTGCCTTCCAGAATGTGCGTTAGCAGAAAGCTGGAGTTGGATGCAGAGACGTGACGCAAACCCAAGGCAATCAGAATGGACTGTGGGCATTCCAAGCAGCATCTTAGCTGCTGGGCCTAATGCCAATCCCTTGCCTATTATAACTTAACTATGTTTCACCGATACATATTTCCACATCATTTAGTTACATACAATGCTATAGAAAACACTGGAGCTTTTAATGAAATTGTATTAAAATTAACTTGAGGAGAGCAAGCACTTTTAAGAACACTAGATTTTCCTAATCTAAAAATCTGTAGAATTGTATAGTCCCTATTATTAAACCTACTGGCTCACAGGCCTATTATTAGTTTTTTTTTCCTTTGTTGTAGTTGGTGGTGGTCTCTTATGGGGTATTCTCCCCTTCAACATATTTTCTAACTAATTATGGCTGGTTTAACAAGGAAGAGTTCTTGCTAAATGTATCCTCCCACCTTCTTTTTTTTAATTTTATTTAAAATTTTTTTTTTATTTGACAGATAGAGTCAGCCAGTGCGAGAGAGAGACAGAGAGAAAGGTCTTCCTTCCATTGGTTCACTCCCCAAATGGCCGCTATGGCCAGAGCTACGCCAGGTGCTTCTCCTGGTCTCCCATACGGGTTCAGGGGCCCAAGCACTTGGGCCGTCCTCCACTGCCTTCTTGGGCCACAGCAGAGAGCTGGACTGGAAGAGGAGCAGCTAGGACTAGAACCAGGTGCCCATATGGAATGCCGGCGCTGCAGGCGGAGGATTATTCAAGTGAGCCACAGTGCCGGCCCCCCACCTTCTTTAAATATGCTATTCTCTCTAGCTTCTGTGATGTTATTCTGTTTATACAGTCTCCATCTGTTGAAGTATCATTCATCTTTCACTTATTGCAAAAATTATTAAATTACTGTAGGTACTATGGACACAAAAGTGAATGAAGTGGGTGAGATCCTAATCTTAATGGAACTTACAGTCTAGAGAAGGAGACACATAATAAAATAAGCTGCAAAATGATTATACAACAAGTAGGCAGTTGGCACAGCAGGTGCCTGGGTTCCAGTCCTGACTTTGCTGCTGATTCTAGCTTCCAGCTAATGTGCACTGTGTGAGGCAGTAAGTGATGGCTCATGTGTTTGGGTTTCTGGCATCCACATGGGAAACCAAGATGGAGTTCCAAGCTCCTGGTTTTGGCCTGGCTCAGTCATGGTGCTGCAAACATTTTGGGAGCGGGCCACTGGATGGGAGGTCTTTGTCTCTCTTCTCTGTCTTTTCAAATAAATAAATAAATAAAATTTAAAACAAATGACTAGGGACCAGCACTGTGGAGTAGTGGGTAAAGCTGCTGCCTGTAGTGCCAGCATCCCATATGGGCATGAGTTCGAGTCCTGGATGCTCCACTTCTGATCTAGCTCCTTGCTAATGTGCCTGGGAAAGCAGTGGAAGATGGTCCAAGTATTTGGGCCTCTGTACCCGTGTGGGAAACCCGGAAGAAGCTCCTGACTCCTGGCTTCGGATCAGCTCAGCTCCAGCTGTTGAGGCCATTTGAGGAGTGAACCAGCAGATGGAAGATCTCTCTTTCTGTCTCTCCCTGCCTCTCTGTAACTAACTTTATAAGAAAATAAATATTTTTTAAAAAAAATGCCAATCTCTTTAAAAACAAATGACTATAAAATTATGAATTATGATTAAGTGGTGGGTGTGTGCACATGGATGTGTATCTATAAAATACATGTACGGATGACCCTCTTCATCCATGGGTTCTGTCTGTATCTGTGGATTCAACAAACTAAGGATTTAAAATATTCATAAAAAAACCCTCATCTATATTAAACATGTAGACTTTTTCCCCTTATCATTATTCCCTAAAGACTACAGTATAACAGCTATTTACATGAAATTTACACTGTATTAGGAGTTGATTTAAAGTACATGAGGATGTATATGGGTGTGCAAATACTATGCCAATTAAAGGACTTTCGCATTCATAAATGGTCCTAGAACCAGTCCCCAGGGATGCCAAGTGATTGCTGTCTACATAAACCCAGATTCTACTACAGACTCAGCAAAGATGATATTCATGTCAACTGAGTCAATGAAATACCTACCACTTAAAGTATAAACACACGGAAAAAGTTAGGCTGGCATACGAAAACAAGAAGAATAGCACTAAATCATATGTCAGGTGTTCTTTTTGCAGGGTGATAATTATGAGTTTTCTGAATACTGTTAAGATAATCCTTCAGAGTTCAGTTTTGACTTCTGCCGAAATTACAACTTTATTTTCAACCACATGATAGAGACCGTTGGTTTTGCCCTCAATTTTAGACTGGTAATACCTTATTAATAATTATAAGAGGCAAACATGTAGACAAAAAGAAAAGAGAAATACCCAGAAAAAGCAGTCATGAATTCAACATGCTATAAAATGGACAAAACAGTAAAGAAATACTATATTGTCAGTATATTCTTGGTCTTCAAAATGTGGATTTTGCTTTCATTTATATTGTCAGCATTTTACCTTTAAACCTTTATCCCTGTCAGACAGTTAGTAGTCACTGCACTCTAAACTCATGCCAGTAGAAAATAAAGGTAACAAAGTTTTCTTCATCAACAGCCTGTAGGCTCACAAAATTGAACCTGTTCTTTTATCTGCCTGTGTTCATTTAGCCCACCAAGCAGTCTTTATTAAAGCTGAGGCATCAGGCAGTCAAAGTTCATTAATACCATTTATATAATCTCTGCAGTTTCAATTAACTCAGCAAGACATTCTACTACATGATAACAGTCTCATTAATTCAATAAAATCCCATAACTATTAACAATATGGTCGATGTTAAACGGGGTGTCACCTAGTACAAAATAATAGCTTTAACAGCTTGTGATGAAACTCAAGGTTTTTTCTTAAAATTTAATCTGGCTAAATATTCAATCCTTATTATTTCTCTGCAAAGAATCTATAGAATTTTAAACATGTATATGGAGTACTTAAGTGCCACTCAAGAGTAAGCTAATAAAGTGTTCTTATTCAATAACTGAAGGACTCTGTCTAAAGTATTAATAATCTGCTGTTCCATATTTCCATGTCGTTTCCACACAAATGCAGAGGGCTAGGTGCATTTCAGTGGTGGAGTGTGCAGTGCTATGTTTTTGTTTCTTGTCTCCTGAACTTGTCTCCACTGCTATAAGGCTTTCTTAATCTATTTTTTCATTCTCTAAAAAAAAAAAAAAAAGAAAACAGATGTGTATCTTGGAAAAATTTTATCATGACTTGCTACACTATTGCCAACTCTTTTACTGTGAGGTATTTTCAAATATTTTAAAAAGTACAGAGAACAATCAGGAGAGAGATTCACAATAAGTGACAACTCAGTAAGAAGACAGCAGCAAAACATGAAACCCTGGATCCTCAATCAAGATGTTGAGAGAGTATATTAACTAATGTTACCAGTTATCCCTAGACTTTGTGCTACAGGTATTCACGAAACCCTTCAACTTGAAGCCATTTTGAATGCTGACTTTTGTTATTTGCTTCAAAAAGAATTCTACACTGATGGAGACATTTTTTTCCCAGTCTCTTTTTGGTTTGTTTACTTATTTACTGTGGTCTTTTGAGTTGATATATCACTTGTGGATATATCATCTTGTTTATGAAGGCCTCTCCTATTGTGAAATTACATAAAATTTATTCTACGCTTTCTCTACTAGTAATTATATTTTTAGTTTTCGTTTATTTCTTTACTCCATTTGGAATTTTTTCACCAATAAAGATAAAATTTAATCTTCTTTCCTAGACAGAATAACAAATATAAAAGGTCAACATTCTATTTGGCATTTTATATTATTAAGATTTCATACATGAACTATCACATTAATTTGATCAAAGGACATTTATAGATATTTTAATATCTCCATTTGGCAATCTTTCCTTACCCAAATTCTGTGGTAAAACCAACACACTTAATAATGAGAAGGATAACAATAACTACAATACCAACATGAACTTTTGATGAGCATTATGTATTTTTTCTTAAGATTTATTTATCACCCTGCACTGTGGTATATTGGGTTAAGCTGTCGCCTGGAGTGCCGGCATCCCATATGGGTTCTGGTTTGAGTACCATCTGCTCCACTTCCAATCCAGCTCCCTGTTAATGTGCCTGAGGAAACAGTGGAAGGTGGCCCAAGTATTTGGGCCCCTGCACCCGCGTGGGAGACCCAGAAAAAGCTCCTGGCTCCCAGCTCAGATTGGCCCAGCTCCAGCCCTTGCAGCCATCTGGGGAGTGAACTAGCAGATGGAAGACCTCTCTCTCTCTCTCTCTGCCTCTCTCTCTCTCTTTGCCTCTCCCTCTCTCTCTTTGCCTCTCTGTAACGCTGCCTTTTAAATAAATAAATCTTTAAATAAAGATTTATTTATTTGATTTAACATGTTAAATAATTAAATGTTAAATAAAATAAATAAATCTTTATTTACAGTTACAGAGAGAGAAGGAGAGACAGAAAGAGAGGTCTTCCATCCATTGGTTCACTCCCCAAAAGGCTGCAATGGCCAGGGCTGGACCCAGGCTGAAGCCAGGAACCAGGAGCTTTTTCAGGGTCTCCCTCATGGGTGCAGGGGCCCAAGCACTTGAGCCATCTTCCACTGCTTTCCAGGCACATTAACAGGGAGCTGGATTGGAAGTGGAGCAGCCAGGACTTGAACTGGCGTTCATATGGGATGTCGGTGATGCAGGCTGTGGTTTTAAACTGCTATGTCACAGCGTTGGCCCAAGTATTAAATATTCTGAACCCTATAAATACTAATATTGTCCTCATTTACAGAGAATGAAATTAAGGATTTAAAAAGCTAAGTAAATTTCTTAATACATAACTAGTAAATGGTGGAGTTGAGATTCAAACACGGCTATCTGAATACAGATCCAGTGTTTTAATCATGAAGCTATATTATCACCATCAAATAACTATCAAGCTTTTAGGCACTTAAAATAACTGTGTCCAGTTTAAAAAAAAGACACACTTATATTAATTAAATTATCACTGAGATGATAATAGTTTGAAAAGCAGCAATATTTTTAGTTAAAGTTTTCAACCTAAAGCATGCTATAATTTTTCATTTACTCAATTTCCACTTCATCTCTCTCAAAAAACATGCATAAGGGCTGTAGTGTACTAGGTAAGGCAGCTGCTTGTAGAGCTGGCAACCCATATGGGCATCAGTGCAAGTCCTGGATGCTTCACTTCTGATCCAGCTCCCTGGTAATGGCCCGGGAAGGCAGCAGAAGACAGCCCAAGTCCTTGGGCCCTTGCACCTACATGGGAGACTGGGAAGAAGCGCTTGGCTACTGCCAGCCCACTTTGGCTGTTGCAGCCATTTGGGGAGTGAATCAGCAGATGAAATCTCTCTCTTTTAGCCTCTGACTCTCTGTAACTCTACCATTCAATTAAATAAATAAATCTTTAAAAAAAGAAGATATTTCCTTCTTTATTTAAATGATATTTATAGAGTTTTTGGTTGTCATTTTGAATAGGATTTTTTTTTCTTTTTCAATCCTAAGAAACTCTTGTCAGCATGTAATTAAAGACATATTACTAATATTAAGAATAAGATAAAATTATTTCCTTTGGCTACTTTATATATTCAATAATAACAAATGTATTATTTAGTATAATGGTAATATTAGTTTAGTATCTTTAAATCTGTCAAGTGTACTTCAAATGAAATATATTGGTTTTATTACAGGTATTTTCTGTTACATTAAATTGAACTTCTGTAATCAGTTAGATATATAATTTTCAATTACTTGAAAATTTATGAATTTAGTTGGAATTCCCAGAATATATATTTGGAGGAACACATAAAAATGTATGTTTATGTATTTTTATTGAAACATCATAGCTTTAAGTAGAAAATCTAGGTATATCTGTATATATCAAAAATTTTACCCTTTAATGAAAATAAAATTAAATAACTTTCACTTTAGTCAAATTACAGGATCACAAAGAAACCACCTAAAAATGTCAAAAAATTTAAAGAAATTTTTTGAAGTTCTATTACTGACTGGTAAGCTTTAGAAAGTAATGGGACATTGGATTATTTTTTTAAATGACATACCACATATTTGTAAATGCAGTATTTTGGAACAATATTTATACATGCAACTCTGAAGTTTTATTATTATATTGACTTTAAAGATACTGTTTATAAGCAAACTCCCAAAACTTGAAATCTTGAACACCTTATAGAAGACAATTTGGTGGAATGTCTTATAATGAAGAAGAAACCACATGTGCTTCAGTGAGCTTACTTTTCTCACCATGCACCTGACAAGTAGCATTTGCAATGCGTTAGCATTATGATACAACTTTGGATACAATAACGGCTGCATTATTGCTCTATCATTTGTCAAGCTGTAGAGACAATTTTGAGTCAATGGATGCCACCTGTAAGATATTTTCATTACCTGTTTATAAAGCAACTGCTCGTTTTCTCTGGCATAACAGAAAAGAACATCTGTAAGAATCTTTCTCACATTTTCTTGTTGGAAAAACTGCATTTCAGGAAACCTAAAAAAACAAAACAGGATTGAAACCGACAAGCACGGTTTTGAGAATCACTCTCAACTTTTATCTCCAAGCAGTGTCAAAGTGGCTGCAGGGTTTAAAACAAGTCTGTATTAGCCATGCAACTTGCATCCTTGGTGGGGCTGAGAAAGTGGAGGAAAAGAGGAAAATCATATTACAGAGGTAAATGACATCATTCAACATGGAAACATTTCAAATTTTTTCACATACTTTCAAAGGCTCCACATGTATGAATACAACCATTTTAAAGGAAATTTTAGTTCATCTATTTGGGAGTGAAGAGTTGGTTTGTTTTAGCCTATTAGGTTTTGATTATTAGAATGTGATTTTGCAGAAGTATCAACTTCTTTAAGAAATCACTGTCCCTTTTATCAGAACTCAATTATTATATATGATCATACTGTCAACTTCATTGTATCAAAATGTAGACTTCAAGTGGAACAAAATTACTAAGCATTGTTTAAATGCCCTCCCAATCAAAAATTCTATCAGGTGCTCTGAGATAATGTGAAACAGAAAATACGTAGAGAAGCTACCTTAAAACAAAGTTTAAATAGTTAAACACACAACTGCAAGAACCCAAGATCAAAATCATAGCAATGAAATACACAGTGAATATGTACAGGTTGAGGGAATGTCATTTAGGATTAAACAGTTAACTGGGTTCAATCCCAGAAGGTCTGAACATGAATTTTGAGGAGAGAAATTACAAAGGAACATCAGTGGGGAAGGTAACCAGATGAGAAGGAAAGATGAAGTAATAAATGGAAATGAAGATTCTCAGCATACAACACAGAATGGTAATTAAGTAATCATCAAGAAAAAGGAATTCTATGAAATATTGCCAGGTGGGAACAGGACAACCAGACAAAGGAAAAGGTGGGGCAAGTCTAGAAAGAGCCTTAGAGGACTGAATTTGCTGCTGGAGGAACAACACAGGGACACCACATTTTCGAACAAAAGAATAATAAAGGGAAGAGTATCTGAGTGGGAATAAGCCTGAAAGAGTAGAGTTTACAGGAAGGACATGAGTGCATTATAACGAAGTGAAATGACAAGCCTGAATAGAAAAGCTTGTGTTCAAATTCATGAAGTACAATTTCTAGCTATGTCACCTTCAGCAAATGATGCTCAACTGGCTCATCTATGAAGTTGGAATAGCGCTACTGATCTTGTGATGAAGATGAGACGTGAAGCATCGAGAACAGCGCCCGAGAAACAGCAGAAGCTCAGAGACAGGTCTGTGTGGGTCTCTGGGAAAGGCTACTTCAGGTGATAAAAATATGAATGAGTTGCTTTAGGAGTAAGTAGAACAAGAAAATGTGGGTCTGGAAAGGAAGACTGCCGAGAGCTCGGAAGTACCGACGTTACTGAGACAGACAAGCTCTCCTGAGTGAGTCTCTCCAGGAGCAGCAGTGGCTGCTTTATCTCACGTTATAACTCCCACATTGTCGCCTATTTTTGATCTTCTGTTAGCTTCCTATGAAGTTACAAGTTGCCAATAGATTTTGTGTGTCCCTTCCTTAACATGTCTTTGGAAATTTTTTTTTTTTCTTCCACCCTTCCTCCCTCCCTCCCCTCCCCTCCCCTCTTCTTCTCTCCTCTATATATTTATTTGAAAGTCAGAGTTACAGAGAAAGAGGGAGAGACACAGCACGGAGAGATCTTTCTTCAGCTGGTTCAATCCCCAAATGGCTACAAGGCTGGGGCTGGCCAGGCTGAGGTCTGGAGCCAGGAGCTTCTTCAGGGACTCCCACATAGGTGGCAGGGGCCCAAGCACTTGAGACATCTTCTGTTGCTTTTCCTAGGATATTAGAAGAGAACTGGATTGGAACTGGAGCAGCTGGGACTTGAACCAGTGCCCATAATGCATGCTGGTGTCGCAGGTAGTGAGTGGTTTTACCCACAATACCAGTCCCTGGAAATATTTTTATGCACACTGGCACAACCAAATTCTATTGCTGGCTGTTACAATCTGAATGTATTATGAAAAAGAGTATTAAAAAACTTTTACATTAACTGTGTAACAAATATCTATATACTATATAATATTAGGTTAATATCTAAATACTAAAAATGTAAAATCTTTTTGCTTTGGAAACATAATTATTTATTATTTGTCTTGGATTTTTTTTTTTTACATTTAAGTTCAAACATTTCAAGTGATGGCCAAACCACATTGAGTGACTGCCTCACCTAGACAACTTAAGGACAATACTTAGGACTTACTATTAGTCCTTTTCTTTTCTTTTCTTTTTTTTTTTTTTTTTTGACAGGCAGAATTAGACAGTGAGAGAGAGAGAGAGAGAGAGAGAGGAAGGTCTTCCTTTTGTGCTTTTGTGTTGGTTCACCCCCCAAACGGTCACTACAGCAGGCGCGCAGCACCAGTCCGAAGGCAGGAGCCAGGTGCTTCTCTTGGTCTCCCATGTGGGTGCAGGGCCCAAGCACTCCCGGGCCACAGCAGAGAGCTGGACTGGAAGAGGAGCAGCAGGGACAGAACCGGCGCCCCAACCGGGACTAGAATCCGGGTGCCAGTGCGGCAGGCGGAGGAGTAGCCAAGTAAGCCGTGACGCTGGCCCAATTGGTAGTTTCATACAAGATTGCTGCTATATCTTTTTGAACTTTTAAATGCTTAATTTTTTTAAAGCGGGCAAATGTCATGGATTTCATATACCAGATTTAGGAGCACAGTAACACTTCCCACCCCACCCTCCCTCCCACATATGCCCCCCACCCTCCCTCCTCCTTCTTTTCTTATTATTTCTTTTAATTTTTATAAAGATCTACTTTCAGCTTATTTTATACTCATAAGATTAACCCTACACTAAGTAAAGAATTCAATAAATAGTAAGAAAAAAAAAAAACACTATTCTTTAACAGTAGAGAGAAGAGCTGCAAATAATCACAGAATCTCAAAATGCCAATTTTGCTCATACACATTACATTTTTTTTGTACTCTATTAGTTACCACAGATCAGGGAAAACATATGGTATTTGTGTTTTGGGGACTGGCTTATTTCACCAAGTATAATGGTTTCGACTTGCATTGATTAAACATATAAATTGTGTTACATACCAAGTCATGGTTTCATTTAAATACAGAGTAACCACCTAAAAGATCAAAAACTAGAGATCTACAAGAATTAAATTGCAGATAGATAAATCACTCATTTTTACCCCATCAACTGAAAATGTGTACTAAGCAGACGTCGCAAAGCCACACAACAGCACAATTTCTATAATTCTACTCTTCAATGCTGAGTTATAATTTAAAAAAATATGACTTGTTCTCTAAATACTGATAAACAATCCATAGCATCAAGTAAGTAGGCAGAAAGATATACAAAAGTTCCAGCAGAAAAAGCTAACAGTTGGTGGTATTTCAGAAGTTGTAAGAAGAACTGACATTCAGAGAAGTTTTGGTGTGAAGGAGCTATGGAGATTTCCAGTCCCATTCAGACATTAACAAGCAATGAAACAAAGCATAGAGAAATTAATACCTGAGCCAAAGACCTGGGTAGTTAGCAGACCAGCAGACCAGCCACTTCCCTAATCAGTTACAAATGACTCAGAAAAATGCAGGTAGGAAAAAAAAACATGAATTGAGAATCACACCGGAGTCAGCACTGAAGAGTGAAGCACTATGCCTGGACAATAAAATATTTCCAAATACATATTTGATTATTGTATTATCAGGATTCAAGCAGAAGAAATTACTTGTCTAAGAATCAGAAATAAGAGAGAAAACCAGAATTTCTGGAATAGTAATCAGCAGCTTTTTATTTGTTGGAAGTTTCGGGATAGCTACCCTATCTTCCATTAGGACTTTGAGGCTGTTCTTTACCTCATGGCAGCGGTTGCTAACTCAGAATAGGAAAAGTAATCTCAGTATCAGTCTAACACAAGTATCAATGAGAAGGCAAATCTACTTGTGAAACAACAACAAAAAACACTGAAGACTGACCCAAGTTGGATTCAGTAATTGTTAGGATATGATAAAACATACAGTTTCAGGCACAAAAGAGAAACTGTAAAACTTCAGAAAAGATGGAATAGTAGAAAATAATCAGAATTCAAACTACTACTTCATGATTCACTCAAGCTAAAATATTTGATATGAAGATAAAGGGGGAATAATCAAACTAGGGACTGAAGACAGATTTTTATTATCAGAAAACAAAAGTATGGAGCTGGCACTGTGCTGTAGCGGATAAAGCTGCTGCCCGAAGTGCTGGCATCCCAGATGGGCACTGATTTGGGTCCCTACTGCTCCACTTCTGATCCAGCTCTCTGCTATGGCCTGGGAAAGCAGTGGAAGATGGCCCAAGTACTTGGGTCCCTGCACCCACATGGGAGACCAGGAAGAAGCTCAAGGCTCCTGGCTTTGGATCGGTTCAGTTCAGGCCACTGTGGCCATATGGGAAGTGAATCAGCAGATCGAAGACCTCTCTGCCTCTGTCTCTGTCTCTGTCTCTGTCTCTGTCTCTCTCTCTCCCTCCCTCTCTCCTTACCTCTCTGTAACTCTGCCTTTCAAATAAATAAATAAATCTTAAAAAAAAATCCACAAAAGTACAAGAGAAGCTGTTTCTGCATGTGGTGAAAAAATGTTAACGGTACTGTGAAACAGATGAGAGAAAACTCTGAAAATACAGAATACAAAGAAAAATAAGTATTCCAAAATGAACTTTAGACTAAACAATCTAAGATTGCAATTACTTGATAGAAAAAAATGATAATCAGCTTTAACACTTTTTTTTTTTAAGTATTATTTATTTGAAAGGCAGAGTTACACAGAGAGAGAGACACAGAGAAAGAAATCTTGGCTCGGCTGGTTCACTCCCCAAATGACTGCAACACCCAGGGCTGAGCCAGGCTGAAGCCAGGAGCTTCATCCAGGTCTCCCATGGGATACAGGTTCCCAAGTACTTGGGTCATCTTCTGCTGCATTCTCAGGTGCGTTAGCAGGGAGCTGGATTGGAAGT